GGCATCATTGGAAGTAAAAAGGAAAAAATGGCGCCCCATAAGGACCTAAAATAGCGCCATCCAAAGAAAGACGGAAATTATAACTGCGGCCGCCCCGCGTTTTTTTTTTTGTGCGTGTGTGTTGGTAGTCGTGCAAGAGGCGCGGACTACGACCGCTGTGGGCGGAGGCTTCGCCTTTTAAGTTATTTCTTTATTTATTTATTTTTTGTGTCGTGTGCGCCCCGCTCTTCCTCCACTCGGCCCGTGGGCGGCCGGCGTGGAGGGGGTGGCGCAGGTTATTTTTTTTTTGAAGTGTGTGACTGGAATTCGCGGTCCCACTGGTCGAAGCGGGTGCGTGAGGGTCCTGCCGGGCCCCCCTGTTTCTCGATTGGCCACTTGATGCTTCCAGCGACATTGCGAGAGGGGAGGGGCCTAACGACGGCCACTTGGTGCGTTCACGAAGGGAGCCGGGCTGGCGCGGGTTGGTCTGCGGGCCAGCCACTTTGCTGGGGGCCCGTCCGGGGCGGGAAGGTGCGTCCGCCAGGCCGAACTGCGGTCGCCTTGTTTTGCCCTTTCCCGCTGCGGGGGGAGGGGCGGGGGGCCGCCGCCAGGCGGATACTCCTCGCGGATGCGCGCGGCCGTGAAGTGGCTGTTGCCCCGCCCCCGTGGGGGAAGTCCGCCCATTGCTGTGCTCACTTTTGTGCCGGCGGCCAGGTCCCGAGGGGGCCACCTAACATCTTCGCCTTTTAACGACGGTGCGGGCGTGGAAAGAAATGGATTTGTCTCCCCCTCGCCCCCGGAGACAGCTGCGTGCGCTCACCCGCATAAGAAACGTAATAATTGACTTTGCCAGCACGACGGCACGCGATGCGTGGCCCCGGTGCATGCGCGTGGCTCCCCCGCCTTGCGCTTCTGAATTCGTGCCCCCTCCCCTCCCCTCCCCCTTTCTTGCCCCCCGTAGAACGCAAAAGCGAAGGCGAAGAAAAAGGAGAAGACATGGTGCGGCAGGTGGATGATCTGTTCCGCATGCGGATGCTGATGGCCGGCGTGTACGTTGGGCTCGGCATTTCTTCCACGTACGGGTTCAGCCTCTTCACGGATCATCTGAAGACGAAGTACGGGTATTCGCAAAGCGACATCACGACAATCAGCACCGTCGGCAACGTTGTTAACTTCCTCAGCTTTCATTCCGGGGCGCTCTTTGACTCCGTGGGCCCCACGGCTGTGCTCCCGTTCGCCGGCCTTTTTGGAGGCCTGGGTTTTATTCTGTTTGGACTGACCTTTGACGGCACGATAAAAACCTCGAGCGTGGCGCTGTTTTCCCTTTACCAGGGGCTCACCCACCTTGGCCTCCCGGTGATGGACGTTTGCTCCATGATGACGCTGATGGTGCAGTTCCCCTTGGACCGCGGCTACGTGGTGCTGATCATGAAGACCTTCAACGGGCTTGGCACCGCGGTGCTGATGGCGTACTTCAACGGCTGGTTCAGGGCGGCTGACTCGCATCGCTCGGAGGACAACCACTACTCCGGCTACGCGTACTTTGTGGGGGCGCAGATTATTTTTTGCGCCTGTCTCGGCGCTTACTGCACGCGGCTGCCGGTGTACTTTCCGTCCGCGTGGAGAAAGAGCCGTTTGAGCCCCGAGGAGGCCGCGGGGCGGGAGAAGACGCTTGACCTGTACATGAGCCAGCATGCCCCCTTGCGGCGTCTGAAGATCGGGTTTGCGCTTGTCGTCGCTATGCTGGTCTTTTCCGCCACGCAATCGATTGCGACGGCGTACGTGAAGACGTCCCACGCGGGGTACTTGGCGATCTCGATCGTGGCGCTGCTGCTGATGGCGTCGTTCTCCGCGATGGCGATGCCGCTCCAGTTCCTGGGCCGCTACACCCCCGTGCGTGCAACGCATATGCCGGGCATTGGCGAGGCGGACGCGGAGCCGATGCCGCAGCAGCCAAACGAAGCCGCGCGTGCGGATGATGCGGAAGAGAGCGACGCCCCCGCAGAAAGCAAGCCGCCAGCGAAGGTGTGGCCGCAGTACCAGGGCTCCTTCTGGGCCCACCTGCTCTCCTTCCACCTGTGGGCAATGTGGTTCGCGTGCTTTGGCATGTGGGGAACCGGCCCCGTGATGCAGATGAACGCCGCCCAGATCAGTCGCAGCACGAACTACGGCGAGTACAACAGTCGAACTCTGACGCTTTACATCGCCATCATTTCTGTGGGCACCGCTGTTGGGCGCATCTCTGTGGGATACTTCGACACGAAGCTGACTGCGTGGAATCGTTCAGGCAAGACAAACATTTTGACGACCATTGCGCTCCCCGTGGCTCCCCTGCTGTTTGCGCTGGCGTACCTCCTCTTTGGTGTGCTGCCTTCGGGCGCGTTGCTGCTGCCGTTTTTGCTTGGATCCTTCGGCAACGGCATTGGCTGGGGCGTCGGCGTCATTGTTGCCCGGATTATGTACGCCCGTGACATTGGCAAACACTACAGTTTCATGCGCACCTCCGCTGCCGTTGCGTCGATTGCGCTCAACCGCTTTCTGTTTGGAGGGATGTACGATGCGGAGGGGCGCAGGCGTGGCGAATTCCCATCATGCAACGCCCCTTCGTGTGTGCGGAAGCAGATGTTTATCCTGATGGCCGTCAATCTTTTCTCCACAGTCGTGGCGGTGGTGGTGCACCTGCGATTTTCGCGCTTCACCCAGGCGAAGCTGGCCGAACAGGCGGCTGCGGCAGCCCAGCAGCAATCTGAGAAGGATGAGCTCGAGGCACAGCCGGTAGAGCCGAGTGAAGGAATTCAGCTGCGTGCGTAGGGGCACGGCCCCAGCTCCTTTTTAAAACTCCCCACTCACTTTTTCCCCCGCTCTCTCCATTTTCAGTGAATTCGTTTTTTTTGCCCCGCCCGATGGCGCTGGCGCGAGTGCGAGGGCCTCTGTGGCCGGGAATATTCTCTTGCCCCCGCCGCCGCCGCCGCCGCCGCCGCCACCGCCACCGACTTCAGTGCCACGGCTGCGCTGCGCTGCGGGCGGGGCATCATTGGAAGTAAAAAGGAAAAAAATGGCGCCCCATAAGGACCTAAAATAGCGCCATCCAAAAAAAGACGGAAATTATAACTGCGGCCGCCCCGCGTTTTTTTTTTTCTGTGCGTGTGTGTTGGTAGTCGTGCAAGAGGCGCGGACTACGACCGCTGTGGGCGGAGGCTTCGCCTTTTAAGTTATTTCTTTATTTATTTATTTTTTGTGTCGTGTGCGCCCCGCTCTTCCTCCACTCGGCCCGTGGGCGGCCGGCGTGGAGGGGGTGGCGCAGGTTATTTTTTTTTTGAAGTGTGTGACTGGAATTCGCGGTCCCACTGGTCGAAGCGGGTGCGTGAGGGTCCTGCCGGGCCCCCCTGTTTCTCGATTGGCCACTTGATGCTTCCAGCGACATTGCGAGAGGGGAGGGGCCTAACGACGGCCACTTGGTG